TCGTTGCTAGGTAACGGACAAGTGAACACCCCAGGGCCGAATACACGCAAGGCAACAATGATAAATGTGTCTCGATGTATTAGTGTTATTGCGAGTTGCTAGGAAACAGCGCATCAATGAAGACGCTGGCTAGGAATCGCCTGGTTTGTTTTCCGTGTGTTCTCCCTTTGCAACAATAAAACTGGATTTTCGGTGCGCGGTCCATGTCGATCCTCTATAAGGAGCAGTTAAGTCCGGTTCAGCAGTCCTAAGTTGGAGGACTCGAGGTTTTCGTCAGGAAGACGTCTTTCAAGGCAGTTCAGTAGTTGATGTGTTAGCCTTGAAAATGTTATAATTGTTTGTGTGTGTCATACATGCAGCAATTTTGAAAGTGTAATAACGAATTGTAGTTACGACGTGTGAAATTATCCAAAAAACTTAGCTATCAAATCCGGAATCCACTATTCACTGTCGCGTTACCAGAATACACGGAACAATATTTTAGCTTCGGGGGCGACAACACTAGTACCACGGCATTCTAGCATCAGTTAACATGCAGCCTTCTCACAGTTTACTATCTGGCTCCTCCATTATGACAGGTGGAAACACAGCTGATGAAGGTTTTGTAGCTGTTCTTGGGGGGGGGGGAAGAGGTCATTCTTCTGCTGCCGGTCACGGTAGCCGAGCGGTCTAAGACATGTACTATCTTCGCTCTCTTGGAAACCGGGATCCTGGGTTCGAATCCCACTCAGGGCATCGATGTTTAGTTTATGTGTGTGCGTTTTTCTGTGTTTGTGTAGAGGTAGAGGCCTTGCGACGAGCTGATCACCAGCCCAAGGAGTCCTACCGAATGTGTAAGATCTAGAAAAACCGAAGTGAACGGAGAAGTTCATGGAGGTAGGCCTAGGCCCACTTGGGCTGTAGTGCCAAGGAAAAAAATAATATTCTACTTCGTATTCCAGTTTACCAGATCCCTCAAAGAAACCCAGAACTGTGACTGGAATTAGAAACGGTTAATCTCTCTCTGTAATAAAAGGAGGCTGAGATCAAAAGGAGTTTTCTTTCCCTATTCTTTCGTGATGTAACATCAACTGATGTTGAGAAGTCTGAAAGGACCAGTGTTTCCCTACCATGCACCAAGTAAGAAAAAAGTAAAGCTATCCCTGCAACAGGCCGTGAAGGCCCATAGGGTTATGAGACGTTGAGGGTCCCACATTTTCTAGACAATCACAATTATCACAGTTGGCGGTAAGGTCGTCAGCCTTACGCGCCGGCCGAGCTTTACTCCCCAGGAAAATTATTTAATTAACTCCTGGTACTCATCTGTTAGAGGCTGAGTCGACCCCAGGGCCATAGTTCGGCTGGAAGGATTAGGCAAATTGAAAAAATTCCAATGACCTCATCGGGACCAGGTTAAAACCAAATTCATTTCATATGCCTTCGTATTTCAGTTTCAGAGGAATTTTATTTTGTTACTAATACAGGTGACTCGCCTAATGGCCGTTTAATCGTCTTTTACGGAGATTAAATCCCGACCAGATTTATTCTGCTGGCAGTTAAACTAAGTCCAGTCCTCCCTCTCCTGGTGAAGTCCGAACGCTGGACAGTATAGGCGATTCTGTGAATATTGAGGGAGGCCAGAAAAATGGCTCTGCTGCACTTGGTTGATCGCTAGTTCTCGTCATATTAACACAGGTCTCGCAACCAACCTTAACACTGATATCTGTGGTTTTGACATTTAATATTAATTGATGAATATAAAAAGGGATACGCAACAAGTCTGGACGCAAAATTTTGTCGCGTTGCATCGGACGATACGCAACGGAGATACGATACAGGGATACGCAACAAATCTGGACCCGGCTTAAGACATGTGACCCGTAGCTCAAGCTATCAGTCGCTGGCTTCCCACCTCGGCGGCCCGGGTTCGATCCCGGGTCTGGTCAAGTGGGATTTCTGGTGGACAAAGTGGCGCTGGGGCAGGTTTTCTCCGAGTATTTCGGTTTCTCCTGCCAATCTTCATTCCACCAATTGCTCCACAATCACCCTCACCTATCATCTGGGGCTGGTACAAGAGGCCAGAAGTGGCCGCAGTACAAGGGACTTACATGTGACGGTGGAGTACTTAGTGACTTCTCCTCCAGAATGCGCTACTGTAAACCCACGTACGATTTATAACCTTGTAACGAAATTGCATTGGTTGAAATTCCCACTTTGGATGATCTAAATTTGGTCAATGGTGACAATTGCTTTTCCCTTGATACTGAACCTGAGATTATTGTTAATTATTTCCCCTTCTTATGAAAAAAGTTAGTTATGAGAATTTTCATGTTAGTATAGTTTGGGATTCTAACGCTCCTGGCTTCGACTTCAAACATAGTCTATCTCTTCAACGCCGCCATTTTTACTTTAAACTTAGTTTTTTAGGTCTTCAGGGTTGTACACTAGGAAAAGAATTATGTTTACAGATACTCCAAAAGAGGAAACCCGGCAGTCTTTGCAGCAAACTGATGCCATTTATGTCGATGTTAGTAGTGCCTTTTACCTTGCCCTCACCCCAAGGTTAGTGATTTTGAATTTAACTGGTTTCATTTTACTTAACCAACAGACAGTCCAAGGTTCGCGCTTCTAGAACTACCTCGTCGCCTTTCTACGTATCCTCTGGTGTTCTTCAGGGATGTGGGCTGGGGTCTGCACTTTTCAAGATGTCTATTAACGGCTGATCTGATGCAATTAATTACTCTAAGTGTCCATATTTTAGATGTTACAAAATTTACCGTGCCATTAGCTCTCCTAAGAAAGTAATCTGGGGGCACGCGGTACAGTAGTTGGTTGAGGCACTACGCTACAAGCCGGATGGTCGCGGGTTCAAGTCCCGATGAGGTCATTGGACTTTTCTCAATTTACCTAATCCTTCTAGCCTCACTGTGGCCCTGGGGTCGACTCAGCCTGTAACAGAAATGAGTACAAGGAATATTCTTGGGGGTAAAGGGCGGACGGCGCGTAAGGCTGACAACCTTGCCTCCATCTATGAGCCGATTGTCTAGAAAAAGTGGGAACCTCAAAATCTCACAACCCTATGGTCCTCTGTTACAGGGATACCTTTACTTTTTTTTTTTTGTTTAAGACCATAATCTACTGCATTCTAATGTAACATTGATTCCGTACGATGCTGATGCAAGCCTAATAATATAAAACTCAACATCAGTAAAACTAAAATTATATCTTTCTCAAGAAAAACTAACGCGTTGATCTATGGATACGAACTTTGTCAATAGTTTTCACCCATACCTACTCTATTAATACAATATTATGTGAGGACGTCTGAGTTTTGCTTCACTTCTATAGACACGCCACCTCTATATATTCTTAATGTATTACGCCTAGAAAACCAAGATTAACGGCCGTGGGGATCCGTTGCGCTGACCACGCGACACCCTCTATCCGCTAAATTTGGCACTAACTTGCCGACAAGCGGAGGTCTCTCGGTCGGTATAGTTCGCTTGTGGACTACAGGCCACGGAGTTAATTAGGTATAGAAAACCGAAATTAACGGCCGTGGGGATTCGTTATGCTGACCACGCGACACTCTCTATCCGCTAAATTTGGCATTAACTTCGCCGACAAGCGACGGTCACTCGGTCGGTATAGTTCGCTTACGGACTAGAACCACGGATTTAATTTTGTTGTTTGTTTTTTATTAATTTGTTAGGACTAGTTCGCAGCTTAGCAATCTCCTTCCCACACCTCGAATGAATATACATATTGTATTATACACTATTAATATGTAAGCTTGCATACGTCTCTGTTATTTGGGATCCTGTTACGTCTACTGATGGGAACCACCTGGAACCCATCCAGCAGAAGTTCTGAACCATCTGTTTAAATCGTTTCATTTCCCATATTCATTAGATTTGTGATGATTTCTTTAGAACAGACGAAGTTCGCACCTGACGCAAGGAAAGGAATCATTTCTGTGCACTGTTCCCTATTCCTGGATGATGTTGGCCTGCTAGTTCCTGCTTGGTGTGTCAGAGACGTTTCTATATTCAATGTCTACACTTCTAGTAAGAGTTGTCCTTTAGCTAGAAGCCAGTCAGGCCATGTCTGAGCTACTTGCAAGCTCCCCATTTTATTTGGTATGGGGGCGGTCACCTGCCCAAGGAGTACCCGGAAAGGGGCAGTAGAACATCGATCGTTGAGTCAGTTGAGAGTTGCAGTTGTGAGAAGTGAGAACCTTGTAGCTGAATATGTGAACAGTCCGGGATCCCAGAGGAAGGGGAACGTCCACTGTTGAAGCCACTACCAAGCAACGGCAAGTGAAGGTTAAGAAGACTTCGTGTGTGCTATAGTTACAGTTATCTTTGGAATGTGTAACTCAGTAAGACTGCAGTAGTTATTTGGAGTTATATCCTGTAATCGTTCAATAAATCCTATTACCAAACCAAACCCCATCTAATCAATCACGTGACAATATATAAAGAGTGTATATGGATTGAAATGGATTCGCATGGCTTAAGATTGCAGCAATGTCAAGCTCTTATGAGGACAGTAATTAATTTTTGTGCTCTATGAAAGACTAGAAATTCCTTAATCAACTGAAGAATTTTTGTCTTCTCAAGAAGGACTTAATTTCTTACTATTATTACAACTATTGGGCATATTCAATACCACGCGCCAGCCACTATGCTACAAGCCTGAAGGTTGCGGGTTCAAGTCCCGATGAGGTCATTGGATTTTTTTAATTGACCTAATCCTTCCAGCCGCCCTATGGCCCTGGGGTCGACTCAGTTTCTAGCAGAAATGAATACCTGGAATATTCCTGGAGGGTAAAGGGAGACCGGCGCGTAGGGCTGAGAACATTACCTCCATCTGTGAGCCTATTGTCTAGAAAATATGGAAACCTCAACATCCCACAAACATATGGGCCTCCACGGCCTGCTACAGGGATACCTTTACTTTACTTAAAATACTTAGGCATATTCAATATTCTGATAAATCCTCTTCTTGTTTTATTTCAGTTGGCACAACTTCTACCAATGGAAGAAAATTTTCTACTTTTGTTCCGGTTTGATAATCCTTTGGAATCGAGTGTTGAATTTATGAAGGTAAGTCTGTACGAAATGAGTAATATTGTGAACAAAGTGTGGTATTTATATTATAATTATTAATGATCCCAGGATATTTATTATCCAGATCGTTTAATTTCTTGATTGACATTTTGGCGTTGCTGCTTGACGATAAACCTGCCTGATCATGTCACTTGCAGATCTGGAGGGAGTACGATACAGACGGCAGTGGTTACATAGAGGCGGACGAGCTCAAAGTGAGTATAAGTATGCCATTCCGAAGGCACCTAGCAGCTTCTTTTGCGTTTCTTTGCAATTTCGTCAAGTCCAGTGTGAACTCTTCTTATTATGCACTTCCGAAACACGTATACCCATATTTACCAAATTCAGAACTTTGGGTTTGAACTATACAAGGTGTACTTCGGCTCTACTCGGCACCGAGTACCTCGGTTTCCCCTGCCAATCTTCATTCCATCAATTGCTCCACAATCACCCTCACCTATCATCTTGGGCTGGTAAAATAGGCCAGAATTGGCCGCAGTACAAGGGACCTAGTCCTACCCCACTAGCAGTAAAAAAATTCCAAACTTTTCCTTACTTTCATTGAGACTCCAGGACAACACCTCAAACACCTTCCTCATTCTTTCGGATTATTTTTTCAATACTCATCTTACCAGACGAAGTTTTGTTCCTTGCGCTAATGATTGCTCCTTTAAACATCAAATAAACGGAATTACTGAAATATAATTTCTACTTTCGATGTTTAGACTCATCGTGTATTGAAGTTGATGAAAGATTTTGATCTGCTCGTGCATTACAGTCACCATTTTCAAGAAGACTGAGAAAGAAGATATTCTAGGTTCAGTATATGCTTGTAGATCTTGCAGTGCATTAGTCACGAAAGGATGTGGAAGTCAGGGGAAATTTTCTGGACATGTTTGAACTATTACTCATACAAGGGTAACCGAGACTGGCGGACCTGATTCCTTTTGGAAGCATTTCTTTTTTCAAGTAACTTTCCAAGCAAATATGGTGGATCTGGCATTTTCTTCTCACTGTATATTTCTTCGTAACATATTAGGGGATCTGGATACTGAGACTGGTACAAATACAGAAGAGTTTTGGTGTCTCTTATCAATCACACGACAATTTCATGCCTCACTTCATTGTCGGTAAGATGGCCACGAATCCCTGTGCCGCAGTACAGCTCGCGAAGAAGCCCACACTCCGCCGCTGCATATAGTTCCCGAGAGCTATGAACGGCTCCTACGCACGAATCGACTTTTTTATGGCAGAGTTATTTGCATGTTACAATATGTAATAGCTTTGATCTTATGTATAAATGTTCGTAATTCGGGAGCTTTTTTGTGTGTGCCTGCGTAAGCGTACCTACTTTAGTGCATATGTTTTTCTTTAGCGTCTGCGTACGTTAGTATATGTTAGTGTATGGGTGTGTGCATATGATTCTGTGCTTTTATGTATCCTCTTGTTGACATTCTTAAATTTCTTCATACGTGTATCGTCTTAAATATAGGTAGTGAAAAGTGTTCTGTATTTTATAAAATTCTGTCATGAAATCCATTTTTAAGTATATATGCAATTGTAATGTCGCTGCTTCTATCTCAGAATTTTGTATAAACAACGAAATGATGTGCATTTGCCTTAGTAATCCAAGCTTCAGTTTAGGTAAGGAATGTTGTACTAAGCCATGTCGAAATTTATAACTATCTCGTAGATTTACAGGATATAAAATATGTGCGTCTCTTTGTTTTCAAGAAGTTATTGTTTAGGTAAGCTGCATTACCATGTTCCAGAAATACAGAGAAATCAGCCGTGACACTGAAATACTCATTTTTAGTGTCATCTGAAGGTGTGTGCTTTTACGCTGTTGTTCTCTTGGACAGGCTTTGCCAGCTTCCTGTGCAATGAATACGACAGATAAAGCAGACGATGCGTGAAGCTGCTCACTGACCTTCATGTAGTTCTGAGCCTCTTCAGAATACGTGTAGCTTCACTCTCAGTTCACATTTGTTCTCTCAAGTCGTGAATCGAAGGTCTAACTTAAATGAGATTTCGGTCGTTTAATTCCAACAGCCTGACATGTTTATGTTTTGTTTTTTGTTTTTATTGCTAGTGGGGTGGGACTAAGTCCCTTGTACTGCTGCCACTTCTGGCCTATTGTACCAGCCCCAGATGATAGGTGAGGGTGATTGTGGAACAATTGGTGGAATGAAGATTGGCAAAGGAAACCGAAGTTCTTGGAGAAAACCTGCCCCAGCGCCACTTCGTCTACCACAAATCCCACTTGACCAGACCCGGGATCGAACCCGGGTCGCTAGCGACTAACCGCTTGAGCTATGGCGCGGCCCAAAATTAAGTGCCAACAACACGCGGTGTTCCCTAGCGGTCACCCATCCAAGTACTAACCACGCCCAATGTTGATCGGGCGAGAACCGGTGTTTTCAATATTGTATGGCCGTTTGCTTATGTTTTGGTACTATCAATATTACTGACATGAATTAGTACTGTGACATAATGGCTGAAAGCCGGAATATCGGAACGAGAAGAGGCGTCTATTGGTAGACAACCGCCGGTAGGTCATTGTTACATAACGGCCAGTAAAAAAAGACTACGACTCGGATGTTTTCTATGCGGTCCTTCCCGAGGTTATATAGCGAGATCCGTAGGGTAAAATGCCTCGAGAATATTCAGAGAAGTAGAATCCCATGTGGACGTGGGAACTTACACTTCCACCCTAGCCCTGCGAGTCGTAGGAGGCGACCAAAAGAGAATCCAATGTCTGGGGTATGACAGGGCCGCACTATTCTTGAGGGATATAAGTAGGGAATCTGACCCTCCAAGTTTGGGGAGTCTCGAATCTGAGAGAGTAAAATGTGGTCATGAGTCCTGAGGGACTCGGACCTGAGAATGAGAGTGCTGACGAGGAACAGCATTTATAAAGGACTAACCCATCCTCTCGTCAGAGAAGATGTTACATAAGAGCTTTGTCGCCAAGACGAACTTATTGGCGATAAACTGCCAGTCGTAAAAATAATTCTGTTTCTGACTCTGGATCTGGCTCTGGCTCAGAAATACCTCCGTGTAATCTTCGACAAAATTGTTACATGGCGGCTGCACTTGGAAATAGATGAAGCCAATGCCATCAGAACATTTATCAGAAATTATCAGTCTCAATAACATGCTATATGTGCTACATGAACCCTTGAAAAGGGTCAAGCATATTCATAAGAGGCAAATCCATCTTCTTGTCAGAGAGGATGTTGCACAAGGACTAAAACGCCAAGAGTGCTCAAAGTGAATATAAGTTTTAATTTGAAACTTGAAGGGTGGGGCGGGGAGATTGCAAGGAAAATATAATTGACATCTCTATACTGTGCAACAGTCCTGAGGTTTATTTTCTTTGCCAACTATATAATGTGTTGCTCTGCAGTGTATAATCTGTACTGCTAATGCGATAGACAATAGATCTGTACCTACGAGTTCAATGAGGATTATAAAGTTCTGTGTATCATATTGGGTTATATTCTTGTTGCTTTTCTGCGAATCTGTGGAAGTCGAGTACTGCGGTCAAAGTATGAAATATTGGAGGATATTATAAATTCAAAGATTGCAAAGGATATACTCGACAATATACTGCATGGAACTGTAAGCGCAGTTCTTTGAATTGTATTGAACTTACTTAGTATAGGAATAACGTAATTGAAATTAGTGGAGGACTCGCATACCGAATTTTATCAAAATATGTAAACTGTTATAGGATATGATTATAGAATGTGATGGTAAGGATTGGATTGATCTGGCTCATGTAGGGACCAGTGGAGGGCTCTTGTGAACACGGTAATGAACCTTCGGGTTCCATAAAATGCTGGGAAATTCTTGAGTGTCTGCAGATTTGGCGGCTCCTCAAGAAGGGCTTAGCTCCATAAGTAAGTAAGTAAGTAAGTAAGTAAGTAAGTAAGTAAGCGAGTCTTTTATTTGTGTTCTGTCTTTTTAGAATTTTCTGAGGGATTTGCTGAAGGAAGCAAAGAAGATCAACGATGTGTCTGAAGACAAACTCATAGAGTACACGGATACTATGGTAATTATAGAGTTCCTCATTATATACATTAGTTTCTTTCAAGTGGTGTTACGCATCTTGTCCTTATACCAACACAATGCTGTGTACCACCTTTCTATAAATGAGACTTTGGAGACAGAATCATAAGGTTTTGACAGTCACATGTTGTAGTTAATTGTATACCAGTACCAACATTTAGGCATGTTAGTTTCACATTAGTTTCGTGTCTGGATTTGGTCTGGTTAGTTTGTTAATGATAACGAATAATTAGTAGAGTTGAGTTAATTTTAAACAGTTCATGAATGAGTTCAAAGAAAATTTTAGTACCCCAAAGAAAAGTCCCGAACCATTAACCCCTTTCATTACGTGGAAACAATAATAATTGTAATAAGGAACATAACATTTATGTTGTTTCAAACATTGCATCAATGCGTTTATTTTGAATTCAGCCATTAAACTTATCACTTATTCTCTACCACAGACAGGACAAATTACGGCATGAAGCGATATTCAAACTTATTGCTGTTATGGACTTTTCTTAAATTATAATTTCTCCTACGTAATAGAGAGAGAGTATTGTACTCACAGGGAACTACGTAACGACACATCCAGGATATGTATCTCGGATCAGAAAAGCAATAAAAGTGTACGAAATTTTGGTCGGGAAACTTCTTGGAAGATGGAACACATGGGAAGATAAATTAAAAATTTCTTTTAGGATACAATTTCCGGTAATATGGGTAGAGAATTAACTGGCTCACATTCTTATTCAGTGATGGCTCTTTGCACTAATGCTATTCAGCACGTGACTGGAGGGTTAGATGATTAGGTTTAACCGTTTGCAATTTGAAATTCGTTAAATTAATATTTAAGAATTTCTTGGCAAACATAACTGCTTCACCATTACAAATAACGCTGTATAAGGAAATAAACAATGTTTATTATGCGAATCATATGAAATATATAAATATTTTCTGTGGGCACAGTAGGTATATAGAAACCAATGTCTTTAAACTGTTTATGGCCTGTAGTTATTTCCATGTAGTCCAAATGGTAATTTTGATGTTGTTCCAGCTCCAAGTATTTGACTCCAACAAGGACGGGCGGCTTCAGTTGTCAGAAATGGCCAAGTAAGTAAAGGTCTGCTTATACTACGTACTAATTTTCCAAGAAGAATTAAAATGCATACTTTTGCACTCTTCAACTTTCTTTTCAAAATGTCACCACTCAGTATATAAATCTACAAAATTACAATTCTATACTGTCTATACCTTTGTTAGATGTTACCAATTTTTACTGGGCATTTAATCCACAGGAGAAAGTATTATTAAAAAAGTATGATTTATGTATTTGTGTGCGTGCGTTCTTGCGCTCCCCACCAACAGCATAACTTATTCTGAGTATATCGACGATTTTCAGGATATTGAATAGTAAGAAACACCAACTTTATATATTTTCTTAATTTTGTCTTTAGTGACTTACAATATGCGAATAATTTCTTATATTGAATCAACGCCAATGTCTCGTACATTCTTGCGTTTTTTGAAGGATACCCTCAACAGCATTTCTCTTTTGCAGACCACCGACTCCTATTATTTTGTTAAACAGTTGTTAAACAGTTAAACAGAAGTTATGATCTTTATACACTTACAACGTAATATTAATTACTAACCAAAACGTTTTTCTTTTGGGGGGGGGGATTAGAACGCTAGCATGATACCGTAATAGGCCACCGGGCGAAAGATGTTGAAGACTTATGATTGTGAAGATGGTGATTGTATTCCATTATTTACTAAAGCACGTACGTATTTAACAGCCCAAAGACCAATTATAAAGTAACTACAAGCCAAAAAGAAAACAAAGCAAACACATGCATACAAATTAAAGAAAAATTAGGCCAATTCGTATCATTTAGACCAGGGGTCTCCAAACTTTTCGAACCGCTGGCCACATTAGGTAATTCAGCACTTTCAACGGGTAGGATGAAATGAGAAATAACTAGGTATATGAGTTTTATTGAAAGCACAGAATTTCATAAACTAAATACAAAGTACGTGAGAATAAATTATCGTGTATTAATGACAACAGACAGTAGCAGCAAATGCTCGTATATTCATCACAAATCATAATAAAACAATTAATGTGAATGATGGAACCCTTTTTGCATTCTTAAAAGCTGATTAAATTGAGGTTCAAATGTTGAAAACTAATAACAAGTAGCGACTTTAAATGTTCATTGGATAAATTTGCTCTGTATTTCGACTTGATGTACTTCATCTGGGAAAAAAGTCTGTTCACGCAGATACGTCGTCCCAAAAATGGAGATAAATTTACAAGCAAATTTCTTTAAATTTGTAAATTGCTCAGAGTTCAGAAATTTATAAAATTCGATCAAATTACCTTCCTTGTATTTGTCTTTAATATAATAATTTTCCTGAAGTTCAATAATTTCCGTTTGAATTTGACATCTGCAGCATCACAGTCAAACGGATTTTGAAACAATCTAATTTCCTGAGTTCTGGAATCCAAATCAGCAAATCGCTTCCGAAATTGTTCTTTCAAATCTAAAATGACTAAATTTGCAAACGAGGAAGGAAATTCTGCTTCACCCTTTTTATGCACCTCTGCACAGTATAGCATATGAACATAGTTACAATTTTTCACTTGGCTTTCCAGAAGTATCAACTTTGCTCTGAATGCCTTGATAAGTGCAAATAAGTCACAGACTAAGTTAATTTCGCCCTGCAACTTTAAATTCAAATGATTCATACGGTTTACCAGATCAGCAAAACTGCTAATTTCCAAAGCCAATTGGTATCTGATAAAAGTGGTTCGTGATGGTTTTTTTTCGGTAAGAAATATATCAGTTTCATTCCTGAGCTGAAAGAAGCGCGAAAGAACCTTTCCACCGCCAAGCCATTGAACTGCAGTATGATATGTCAGGTCAATAAGCTCGGAATCACATCTACCAGTACTCACTGGAAAATTAGTTCAATTGGCGCATTTCTGCACAATTCTTTCGCGGGCCGGATAAAATCACATCGCGGGCCGCATGTGGCCCGCGGGCCGTAGTTTGAAGACCCTTGATTTAGACAATAATACAAAGTCAGTAAATGCAGTCATACAAATCATTATGCAGTGAGAAAGATATACGATATAGTATATATATATATATATACGTAAAATTTAAAGTTTTACCTGTGCTTAATTAATTGAGCACGAAGCCATGAAGACATATGGGAGAGTGGAGGTATAGCTCCACCATTCTTGACCTCGGCATTAGACAAAGGTGAGTGGTCAGCTGCAATCCCCAGCCGCTTTACCCCCGGGGAAAGAGCCCCGATGCCTATTGGATAGGAGGCCGGGTGGGCTCCAAAGCCGGTCTGCATGCCACATAAAAAAGAAAAATCTTTTCTGCCGGGAATAGAAACCTGGACGTTCAGCCTTTAACCCATCGCTATATCTACTGAGCTATCAGGGCTACAATTAATATTTTAACAATTATGAAAGTACCACTGTAAAATGTGATTTAGAGAAAGGTTTTGTTTTAAATACGTCAACGTCCTTACAAATACCATCGCGTAACAGAAGGAGAGATTTTACGCGAAGAACAGACAACATAGAGGTCCCTGATGCACCAAGCAGTATCTCGAGGACTAGAGTTTCTATAAGAGGACGACATTTAGTACCAAGGTGAACTGAATGAGGAATCCATTCTTACGTAATTCTTGCAATTTTAACTGCCCTAGAGCATAAGCATAGAGTTTCTATAAGAGGACGACATTTAGTACCAAGGCAAACTGAATAAGGAACCCATTCTTACGTAATGCTTGCAATTTTAACTGCCCTAGAGCATAAGCATATCTGAAATGGACAAAGAGAAAGAAGCGATTAATACAAAGGGCGGCTATATTCTGCCGGATGCGTTCCAGTTCAAGGTGGTAGTAGTAGTAGTAGTAGTAGTAGTAGTAGTAGTAGTAGTAGTAGTAGTTTAATTCTTTGTATATTTACGTGTGTACACAGCAGCCCAAAGGAAATTGTAAAGTAAGCACAAGCGAAGGGAAAATAAAATAACCTAACAGAAAATGAAACGGGGCAACATGTAGCACTTTGACAATAATCATTCGAACATAGTGTTAATAATAATACTGCTACGTATATCGGTCCATAACAGCACAACTTATAAATAAACTTTCCTGGCTTTTTTATTAATGGTTCCGGTATGTGTGTACCTGTTCTGGAATATGCTTTTAACGTATGATTTTCTTAACAATATTTTTCTACATTATGGAAGGAAGTGGAATTCTTCCTTTTTTATGATAAGCGATAGTAATCTGTTAGTAATTACAGATCAGTCTCTATTCTTAGTAAATTTTTCAAGTTTTGGAATTTGTTATTCATTACCATGTGCCACATTACTTGAAGTTTAAATTAAATCCCACCAACAAGATTTCTCGAAATCTAAATTTGTCATCGTCAATTTGATACTGTACTTCTTCATAAACTTGCGGGATTTTTGTTCATTATTTACATGCGTAATAGTTGTGTTGAATTGTCTTCCCCCCGCTCAAACTTGGGATCATGGGTTCGAATCCCACTTGAGGCATGGATATTTGTGTTTATTCTGTGTTTGTGTCGTCCTGTGTGTAGGTAGCGACCTTGCGACTGGCTGATCCCCCGTCAGAGGGATCCCACTGACAGTGTAAAGGGACCAAGGCACTGAAAAATCAGGTCCAACAGAAGGCTGTAGAGCCGTAGACAGAAGTAATTTCTTAGTTATATAACAAATATGGGCCGCTCCATAGCTCAAGCGGTTAGTCTCTGGCTTCCCACCGCGGCGACCCGGGTTCGATCCCAAATCTGGTCAATTGGGATTTGTGGTGGACAAAGTGGCGCTTGGGGCAGGTTTTCTCCGAGTACTTCGGTTTCCCCTGCCAATCTTCATTCCACCAATTGTTCCACAATCACCCTCACCTGTCATCTGGGGCTGGTACAATAGGCCAAAAGTGGCCGCAGTATAAGGGACTTAGTCCCACCCCACTAGCAATAAAAAAATATGTAACAAATATAAAACATCTTTTTCGTATTTCTGGAATTCTTGCGTCCAATTTAGGAGTTCTCTGTGGAATTCCACATAGATCCGTTTTGTGGCCTCTGGTTTTCATAATTGAATTATGCAATGGAACTTTTGGTGAAGACGTCAAAATTTTGTGTCGTTAAATTTCCTGCCGATTGCATTCTAACATAGTTTTCCGGGCCTGTTCTTTCTATACAAGGTTGATGCATGTTTGTGGGTTCGTAAAACTCACAATTAGTAAAGCCAGAATTGTTTGTTTCTCAAGAAAACTAATGTTTTTTCCATGACCAGAAATTTGGTGACATCTCTATAAATTCTACTGGCTCTATTTAAGACTTGGGAATATATTTTGCTCTTAGAGGCAATTTCCAATATTGTGGCGATTACATATGACCACATTAGCTTAAGGTGTTGTGTCCAGTTCGCACTGTAAACTTGTCTTTCCACCTTCCCTCTTTATTGATGTTACAGTTTATCTTCATTGTATAGAAGTTATAATACGCCCTTGGTATTTTGAATTGCTTTGCGTTTACTGATGTCAACAAGCTCTAACACATTCAGCTGGAAGTTTTCAGAGTTGCTATAATCATCTTTTCACTGTGTCTTGTAAAGTTACTTTAATATTTTAGATTACTTAAAATTGCATATAGCGTGTGACAGGAGGTATCGGCTTCATGTGTCCCGTTAATGTTTACCTTGGTTTTAAAATTGTCCCTTCTGGATTGCAGAATGTTGGCCTCCGAATACCTCAGAGTTCTTTCCTGTGCTAAACACTGGTTCATCTTGCAAGAATTATCCATATACTATTTAGGATTGGTGGTTCTTGCAACGGTGGTTATGAAGTACTGTTATCCGGGATATGACGCCCTGTAGTCCCTTGAAAATCAACCAAAAATTTCGATGGAACATGTCACCTCCATTTACAGAGTCGAAGAATATATCAAGCACCTGTTAGTGCTCGCTTCTTATTCCTCGACTGTGAATAAGGAGGCGATATGTTCCTCCGAAACGTCAGTTGACTTTCAGCGGACTGCAAGGCATTATATCCCAGAAGGTATACCTGTTCTATCCCTATAATAGGTTCGCATCAGTTGCTAATACTCGAATGGTCTGCAGAAACATGAATGTATTCAGAAAACCAATTGTTTCTTAATTATATTTTATATCATGCATGGTACTCGCACACTCTTATCCATTAAGTTGCCTTATCGGTGATTTAGTTTTTTTTTTCAATATAAGCATATATAAATAATCCCTGGGGGGGGATAGGAGTGTGAGGTTATTGATATATCAATAAAAGTACTTAGGTAAGTCAATAAGTAAGTTACAAATGGATATAGAACTTAAACAAATAAGAATACTGATTTGAAAAAACGCCTTTATTTCTCAACATAATCTCCCTGTACATTGAGGCACTTGTCCTATCATTTCACAAGCCCCTGAAAACCAGCAGCATAAAATTCTTTGGGCTGCTGTCGGAACCAGGCGGTGACTGGGATCACGAAGGCACACTGGTCACCGTATTCCAGCCTGAAGGACAAACCGTAAATGCCGACTCCTACTGTAACATCCTCAGGAAACTTCGTAAGGCCATTCAACGGAACCGACCAGGACTCCTCACCAAAGGCGTGTTGCTCTTGCATGACAACGCGCGTCCCGATACTGCCAACAAGACAAATGAGACGTTGCGAATTTTCAAGTGGGACGTCCTCGAGCATCCTCCGTATAGCCTCGACCTTACTCCAAGCGCCTTCCATTTGTTAGGCCCTCTTAAACATCATCTTTCGGATGAACATTTTCAAAATAGTACTCTTATTTGTTTAAGTTCTATAGTCATTTGTAACTTACTTATTGACTTACCCTCGTATGTTAACAGTTACATGCCTGACGAAGGTGAAAGGAGTTCCAATTATATCTGTTAAATTTGATAAAGCAGTCGGAATCTGTGCTGGTATAAATTTTGCATAGAAACATATACCTAAATTACATAATTGTTAACTAAAATATATATAATCTTTTATCATCATTATATACATTATATCATCATTATATATGTTGTATTTGTTGCAGTTGTTTGTATTTCTATGTAATTGTGGTAGTTGTTAATCGTATTTGGTTTCTATTCATTGTGGTAGGATGTCCTTATTGTTGTGTTTTGTATATTGTGTTTTGTTTGAACGTGTTGTCACTTAGTGTAATGTGTGTTACTTGTCTGTTGTGTCCTATTGTGTACTACTGCCACCGGGCTAAAACCCAATTGCAGCATAATAAATAATATATATATATATATATATATAATATTTGAATGGAAATAATGTTCCCCAGAACTTACGACGTATTAACTCTTTCTATATCTTCCTGCAGATTGCTGCCTGTGAAGGAGAATTTCCTATGCCGGCAAGTCTTCAAGGTAAGTGAGGTAACGTGAGCAACGATCTACATATGAGTGTACATCACATAAATGTACAGTGAGCTTAACAAGTCTGTAGTTCCTTGGGACATAACTGTTTTTCTCTCTTCTGCCGCATATCTGTTCACTTACGCAACTCACAGTATGACAATAATGTATTTGTATTGTTCCGGATTCCTTCCATAGCAGCTGTGGTAACCATTGTGTGCGTCTCTTTCTCTTTCACTATGTGCATCTCCTCTATGGGATGTTGATGTCAGTAATTATCAGTGTATGGTTTGATTCACAGTAAACGTAAGTTTGAACGAGGAATATCTCGTAGGAATACGAAACTAGCGACGTCATACAACCTTAAGTTTTCCTTAGCCTACTTTCCTCACGCAGAGAGACTGACGTTTAGTGTCATTATGTCCGTATTTCTGTAGGCCTTAATGACTTCCGAAACAAACATCGCGCTATTTTTTCTAAATAATTTTAACGACAACCTTTAGGTTCTTCCAAACGAAGGAGACTTTGCATTTTCGATATAGAAAGAAAACAGGGAATATAAATTCGTGCCTGGAGAAAGTTTTGAACACACGAACCCAGTATACGTCTTAACATCATACAGCAAGACTTATAGACCTTGTAGACCTTCCTCCTGTTCCGTGCACAGTGACTGAAAAACTGCAAGTCTTACGCTGCAATGCCTCAGCTCACCAGATTAGTCCACTTCATTTACCTCTAGCTGTAAACTAGACACCGGAGGTGAAAGTAAGTAAGAGGCCGTGAAGGCCCATAGGGTTCTGAGACGTTGAGGGTCCCACACTCTCTAGACCAGCCGTGTCAAACATGCGGCCCCATAGCCACAAAGTGCGGTCCCTCAAATTTTATAGCTAATTGATATTAAAATCAATATTAAAATTTTAGTAGAATTTTTTTTTTTGTAAATACAATTTTCCAGAAGACAAGAAGTCTCACGCAGACATAAATAAGTAGGCTCCAGGAAATTCAATGTTTTGCTATTTCTAACATAATTTCTTGTGTAATCTCTCTTTTTACATATTGAAAAGTTGTTTGATACTTGTCAAAAATGGCATTCTCTTGCTTTTTAAAACTGTAAGATATGTGACTGTAGGTAATTATATTGAAATTATTCCTAAATAATAAATAGAATTAAATTTCCTTGTATCAAAATCTAATGTATATTTCTATTTTGAAGTGCGGCCCTGGACTATTATTTATAGGGGTGAGGTGGCCCTCGGTACAAGTTGAATTTGACATGCCTGATCTAGATAATCGGCTCAAAGATGGCGGTAAAGTTGTCAGCCTTACGCGCCGGCCGCACTTTACTTCCCAAGAAAATTATTTAATTAATTCCTGGTACTCATTTCTGTTAGAGGCTGAGTCGAGCCCAGGGCCATATTGCGGCTGGAAGGATTAGGTCAATTGAAAATAATTCAATGACATCATCGGCCGCGGCCTTCCCGGCTTGTAGCATAGTGCTTCAACCAACTACGCTACAGTGTATACGAAATTATAAATCAAATGGTGAATATAATTCGGAGACAAATGACGGATATGCTCTTGTAACATTTGTATTTTTCTCCCCTTAAGCAAGACGAATCCCTCTCGTTCGTAAGTCTGACTTTTAAATGTTTCTCTTTACTTATAACGTGTTTCTGTGCCAAACAAATAGGTGCAGACTTTTGCTATTTTCTTCTTCCCTTCTCATACAACTTGAAAATCATCGCGCTCCTCTATGTCCCTCGTTATACAAGTATCGCTGTGTGTTCCTACGAAATATTCAAAGCAGTTTGTGAACTTTGGAATTGGAGTGGTGCAACTCTAGGCAACTTCCACTTGTTGTTGTCTTTCCTACAGAATATGACTCGAGTTAACCGCTTCTAGACTTTCAAATTTTCCTGTTCCAAAATTATCTTCAGTCCCAAAAGTTTTGATTACTATATACTTTCTAATGATTACTAAGTACAGTATGTTATGTAGGATTCTATATAAAAAAATGGTATCTTAGTTGCGGTACGTCTGCAGATTAATGACAACATGGTTACAAAATACTTTCAGCCACCTTAAGCTCTAAGCGTGCCATCAGAGTCTTCAGACTTGGAGAGAACAGCTGCTCAAATACCATTTTGCTCAACATAAATCCCACATGGAAACCTGGAATTGAACCCAACCGCCTGAAGCATGGGACTGTCTACTCTTTTCTGCATCGCCATAGTGAATGACAAAAATCTGATAAGGTTAAAACCTTCTTAAAATTTTATTACACCAGACACACTGTAGAGATTCTCAAACTAAAACGATGATTCCCTGGAGCGTGGTTTATGGTATTATTTATCAGTATAAATGGAAAGACTTTATGATTTAATGGCCAGAAAGGTGGCAGTCTCATCATGGTCTTTCTCTTTTAAGCATAAATCGCATATCAAATGACGAGGAAGTAAATTCGGTTACTCTTGAAAAACAGTAACAAAATAAATAACAATGCATTATTTTAAAGACGAGTACATGAAGGACAAGCAATTAAGTTATAATTAATAAATCTGTAAGCTTTCATCGAAAGGTTTTGATTTTGCTATCCACAAATAGGACGGTTCACTTTTATAAATTATTTACTTCCCTAGATGAACCCAACTGTAGATCCAGAGATGAGGCCCCAAATTATTTGTGGGGTTGTGAAAACGTACAGCCTAGTCGAACCATCGCACACTTCTCAGGCCCAGGTCGACGGGAACGGATCTGTGGTTGAATGGTGACTGGTAGGGGAGAACCAAAGAACTCGAAGAAAAATCTGCCATAATGTCACTTTCCACACCAATAATTATGAAAAGTACTGTTCTGAAATTAAATTGAACAAGAGCCTCTGATGTGAGAAACAGACGAACGCCAATGTAAGCCATCGCATGGCTCATATATATTTGGATCTAAAAAGGGAATTAATTATTCTTTTATATTTATTAATAAGGAATAATAAAATATATATTAGCCTGTAAGGGGTTACGCTTTAGCATAGTTGATTGAGGCACTATGCTACAAGCCGGAAAGTCGCGGGTTCGAGTCCCAACGAGGTGGAATTTTTTCAATTCACCTAATTCTTCCAGACGCACTATGGCCCTGGGGTCGACTCATCCTCTAACGGAAATGAGTACCAGGAATCTTCCTGGGAGTAAAGGGCTGCCGGCGCGTAAGGCTGACAACTTTACCGCCATCTGTGAGCCGATTGTCTAGAGGATGTTGGAGCCTCCACCTCTCACAACCCTATGGGTCTCCACGGCCTGTTACAGGGATAGCTTTACTTCTTATTCGCCTGTAAAATCGTTGAAATAATTCCAGCATACATGTTAGAGGATGAGAACACGGCCTCCCATATGCATTACAAATACAGAAATTGAAACTAAGCCAAATACGGCCACTTTAAGGAACCCATATGGTCCCGTTGCATTAACTTATAACTTATATACAGAGATACTTCAGTCTCAAATGCATTTATTCCTCTTCACTACATATTTCGGCCTACCTGATCTTCATCAGGCAATGATTTTCGTTATTGATAATTTTACACATTTGATAGTTGTTCAATTTTACTTACGCCTGTTGTTTAGTACAGTTCTTACGGATGTCGTTGGAATTATTATTATAATTATTATCCGCAATATGTAAGAATATATTATTTGATATTATTCGTTATGTTTTTGTGTTTGTACGTTAGTTTCATTTCGTACTTAAATGCTCCATTAGTTTTTATATTTCCACGGTGTTGAATTATTTGAGTGTGTCACTTATTGTTGTGAGAGGTCAGTGTCACTGCTCCCGCTTTCATATCTTTACTGAGGAAGGGGGGGGGTTGCACTATCTGCCTTAAAGTTCGTGTAATATTTCGAATGTGAAGTTGTATGTATATATGTATGTATCATTCATATGTAAGTTATCTTTACTGATTCTAGAAATGTTATTTTTCCAATGTAATTAAATTAACAGTAATGAAAATTTTAACACAACTCACATTACACAATAAAGAAAACACGGACTCCGCAGGAAAGAAAGAGCGAGAGAACATAACAACGTGCAGTGCGCTCAAATATTTTTTTAGGAAAGAATGGCGACAAATGGAACGACATTGACATGTTTTAATTTGGAACTAGGTCATTTTAAATGCAGTGAAAAATACAGGGTAACGGCTTTAGTAAGATAAACACTTGTCTGATGGTGGCCGGGTACGGCCGAAACTTGTAGCAAAGGTAGAGGTAAAAAGGTGTAACAGGCCGTGAAGGATACCGCAAAAAGGAGGTGTAAATTTAAAAAAAAATTGCATTTGGGATACACGTATATGTGTGTATAAGTGACCAATACGATATTTTCTTATATGTCACAGTGGCGTAGTTCATCATTACTATCTGCAGGAAACTGGTTTAGGAGCGCTGTGTTAACGCTTGAGAGCAAAGAATAAAATCTGTCTCTCTTCTGTCAGTCATAAATCTCCAAGCGTAGTGTCAGAGCTGTTATTGAAATATGATGATAATGATGATGATGATGATGATGGTGGTGGTCTTAAACATTCCAACAAGTACAATAACTTCAGATTTGTTTGATCTAGCACGACTCAAATTCTAAAGCGTTTATAAACTTAGGTTCATTAGGAATTAGAGGAAGTATGTGGCACTCTCTGACGTAATGAATCTATACATTTCTGTACGCTGTCTGTAGAATTTGTTACGTATATTTGTACGCTCTTTTATGTAGAAGTAAAATATAATTCTTTATCTCTTTCCAATTTCACACTTCACTCTGTAATCCAGTTAAAAGATACTACATAAGCAACTATTAAGGCTGTGCGGTGCAATTTCGAATCTTCACAGTGGTGCAACATTTCTTCGAATTAGTTTCACTACTGTCCTGGTTCATATACAGAAATTTACCTAATGGCCTTAAATAAAAAATTCCTTTTTATAAATATACTGTACAGCTAGAAAATAACACAGGACACGTGCTCTATTTTAATTGTGGTTTATAAATTGTGTTTACTGAATGATTTATTTAAGGACATCGTAAGCCATTTTACACACAATGTTTGTGAGATCCACGATCCATTCTCCCTATATTTATCAGTCTAAGGTGCGCCCTTTGTTTCTATCCACACTTGCTTTACAAAGCAGCACTCTAGTACAGGAGTTGACAACATCTTGGCACCGGCGACCAGCATTCGACTTCCACCTTCACAACGCGGGAGGCACCTCTGCCGCTTAACTCTATTTTCGGATTACAGCCTTTGTTTACTTCTTCCACTTACCACTCATCCCTCTCTCCCTGTCTCCTCCATCAACATTCAGTATATACAAAACATTCACTCTCAAGCTTGGCGGATTGCAGGTAAAGGTTAAATTAAATGTGCCAACTTTACTTCTGGCTGCTTTTTTTTGTTTCCCTCCTCCAATTCCTTTTGCGTTTCTTTCTAAAAATTCGTAGACGAAACTCACGGAAAGGACCCGCAAGCGGTCAGTTACCGATCCTCCCTCATTGCGATTCACTGAATTCAGTTGCACAAACTGACGCTTCCAGAATGGCCCTGCAGTCTACCCAACCCCTTACCCCAGAGGTTCCAAAAATTTGGGGCGTGCCATTCTGAGAGAATGAGAGTGCCCCTTCTTTCGGGAGTGCTTATCGTTTAAATTAAATATGGTGAAATATTTTCAAAATCATTTTCTTCGTTGAGATAGTTTAACTCTCATACAGCACCAGCAAAGCCATACTCTTCTAGAACATTAGCGGTTTTAGAAGTAAACGACAATATAATTCTGCTTACTGTTATATTATAAGAAACGAATGTTTTTTAATACAGATTTATAAAGCGACTGATTGTAGTGGCATTTATCATTTGATAGTCTACGTGCAGTTTGTTGAGGATACAAAAATTAATGGAAACCTGCAAAGAGAAGAGCAACAGCAAAAGAACTCTTCAAATTTGTTGACATGGTGAAAGAAAAAAGCGTAAAATGATCAGAGTGTGTTGGAGTATGCACGGCTGCAGCTCGGGTAATGGAGGGAAATATGGAAAGTCTGCAGAACTTAATGAAACAATCAGCACCAGAAGCTATGTGGACACACACTATGACACAACGTGAATCACTGATTGCAAAGTAATTATGCCCAGAACTGAGTGAAGTGATGGATAGAGTGATCAAAACTGTAAAATATATAAATGCTCGTCCATAGGAAAGCAGACTTTTGCAGAATTATGCGAGGAAATGACAACACAGGGTCAGTCACTCCTGTTTTGCTGCAATTCTCGTTGGCTCTCAAGAGAAAAGATTGTGGCTCGTGTTTACAACTTGTGAGATGAAGTAACACTGTTTTCAGTAGATGAAAATCTAGCACAAAGTGATATTTTTTAGAAGTTCAGTACACTGAACCCAAGCATGCAAGGGAATGATGCTATCATGATCATAGTGATTGACAAAGTGAAGGCATTATTGGGATGTTGGGCTTGTGGGTAAGAAAACTAGAAGGGAAAATTTCGAACATGTTTTACTGTTTGAAGATTTATGGACAGCAAAAAAGTGTGGAAAACAGTTACACTCTAATTGAGCAGTGTATCAAAAATCACTAGGTTAATATGCGGTCCAGGTTTTCTAAGCGTTCCCGGAAGCAGTAAGTGATAAATACAAATGGATCACTGATCCATTCCATGTTGATTAGCACCAAAATTAAGACTTCTCTCCCTCTCGTGAATATATACTCTTAACCACTGTACTAATTAAACATATCTCTCATGTTAGTTAACATAATCGGTACACAATCTTCACTCCACTTTTTATTGTCTATGACAGATAGACTTATGCTATCGTTTGTCTGTGTCCCTAGGAAATATTGAACTAATTCATGGATTTTTATGAATTTTATTATGAAGAGCATGCTTAGGCTACACTGCCCATATACTTTTTATTTTCTTTATAAATAGTAATGGACCGCATCTGTAGTCAAGTGGTCAGAGTTCCTGGCTACAGATACAGATTTTCTGAGAAGCAGTGGGTCTGTAACGGGGTCCGCTCAGCCTCGTGAAGGTAATTGAGGAGCTATTTCAAGGAAACAACGGCTCCGGTTAAGAAAACCGAAATTAACGGCCATGGGGATCCGTTGCGCTGATCACGCAGCACCCTCTATCCTCTAAATTTGACACTAACTTCGCCGACAAGCGGCGGTCGCTCGGTCGGTATAGTTCGCTTGTGGACTAAAACCACGGACTTCTTTTCATAACCAGTAATATTGAAATGGCAAATTTGCAAGTTGGGAGCAGCATTGACTTCATTTAATGTAGTAATCAAATCAGACGCGGTAATAGATTTTCCAAAAACATTAATATTTTCACGTGTATGAGTGACTGTCACCTAGGTTTGGATTGGAGATTGGATTTAGCGATCACTTTAACACAGGAGTCGTGAATACATTTAATTATAACGCCATTGCTGATCTCCAGAATTTACAGATCACTACAGGACATGCTAAGCCTTTTCATTCTGATGTGTCTTCACCAGCCGTTCCCAGGTAACGGCTTTTAACGGTGGAGATTCTTCAGCTTCCTCATGCACTTCGTTGCCCACTGGTTCTCAACTGCACCGACTGTCTTCTCTCCACAGACTCCCTTACAACTGACTACTGTTCAGTCAGAGTCAGAGTCAGAGTTACTTTACGACTGGCGGTTTACTGTCAATCAGATCGTCTTGGCGACAGGCCTCTTCAAACTCACGACCAGCAATTTTATTTTCCAAATGAACACTTGCCATTATATTCCTTATGTAACTTCCTCTCTCGCGAGAGGATGGGTCTGTCGTTTACAATTGCTGTTGGGCCCCGCCAGCCAGTCATTCTCGGGTTCGAGTCCCGCAAGACTCATGATTACTGTCCCAGATTCCAGACTCCCCCAATCTGGAGGGCCAGGTTCCCTTACTTATATCCCCCAGAACAGGTTAACCCAGTTACACCCCCAGTCACTGAGTTCCCTTTTTGTCTCCTCCTATGACTCGCAGGGCTACAGTGGAGGCATTGGACCCCGCCTGCACACCATACAACCGCTCTAGAGAGAGAGAGAGAGAAAGAGAGAGAAGAAGAAGAAGTGGTGGTGGTAGTGTGAGACCCTACATTGGCTGGGGGGGGGGAGAAAATATAGCTCCGATTTTGAAGGTTCCCAGGCAGTGCCCGCTTGTCCCTCTGGTAAAGATAAAGCGTATGATCGGATTTTTTTGTTTATTTATTATTTTTTGTAACGTTGGGAGGGCTATATTAGGGCGAAATTTTGATGTTAACAATGGGAGGACTGCATGTGAAGCATGCAGTGCAACGTGGAATTTGGGCACCAACTCAGCATTTACTCTAGTACCGAGGAAAACCACGGAAAACCTTGGTCGAGCTGGTCGGTCGCAGGACCTTCCGGATGCAAACTCGGCCGGTGTCCTCGTTATATAACACCTTGGCACGAATCGCGCAGAAAACACCGTTTCGAAGAGTTCCTATATTGATGCGCGTGAAGACATTGCCTTAGGAATCTGTTTGTTTCGCGGTCGCTACCTAGTAACGGATCTAGATGCTACAATATTTTTAAGGTAATGCTTTGTTGAATGTAAAATAAGAAGGTGACCACACGATATATAAGCCTGCGTTTAGTTCTGGTTTAATTGGAATAACCAGTCAGTCAAACGGTGGAGCTAACATTTGAAATTCTGTATGGAAGTTGATCTTAAACCTGTCTGCATATTAGGTCTGAAAACAATTTACATGACACCGATTACAAACATGGCAACTGTGCGGTTCCATTAGGTTATACCTTGCACAATGTTATTAGATTATACTTCCCAGCACTCATTTGCCGTCGTCAGAATCTGTAGAGGAAATTTTATACAGAAACTGATCATTAAATACGTTAATTGCTAATACGGTATTGCTAATTTATGATTCTTGTTAACATTTCATGTAAATTATAACGCGTGGAGCAAAGTGGGCACCATGTTTGTCTTTCCTAGGCATTCTTGTTTCAGTACCTGATTATGACCTTTGTACCCTTCTCCCTCATTGATTTATAGTTTATTTTCATCTGTGAAATGGATATGATGTCCTTATATAATCAAATGTCTGATAAAACAATGCACTAACACTCATTCATATCAACTATTATTATTGCTCTTCATTTGTCTTCTATAACAGGAAGGAATAGAAGTGAGTAACGCTTGGTTGGTCTCTTGTAGTAGCTTCATTGCTTCACTACTTGCAAGCCTGGGGAAAGCAGCTGAGTCTATTATATAAGTTAACATTCGTTTCCTAACTAAAGAAATTATCGTCTTAAGAAAACTGCTAAGTTAACTATGCTTGTTAGACGCTTCATGCTAATGAAGTTGTAATACCGGAAATATTGTTCTGGTGCAGAGTGGACTTTCAGTTTTAAAGCTCGCAGTTTCAGCTGGCTCTCTAGAATTTAGCCGCTGGTTTATAATTACTCGATATAATTAAAACTTAATATTGCATATTCTGCTTGTTAAATATTCATTGTCACGGTGTTCATATTTTAATTTTGTTGCAGGTACAGTCAATCAGATAAGGTTAACAGCTTTTGACAGATGCAAGTAGTTAAGTTTATCGCTATTGACGCTGATGATTTACTATAACGCATTTCCTGTTTGGAAATAAATTATACTTCTCAGCATAAAAGTTTAGGAATTCTCATTCATCTGCCTAAGAAATATTTTTCTTTATGAGTGTTACATCTCACATCCGCTTCCATTTTCAGAAAATGTTTTTGCAATTTGTAATAAAATATTGTTTACATAGATATAAGAGATGTTGTTACAATTAATGACTTTTGAACATTATCCATCTTCTGTTTTTTATTTTAAAACGTTTCGGAGACTGGAATCTGTCTCCTTCTTCAGGTAAAACATACTCAGTTGGGCTCAATTGACAGAGCTAGTCCATGTCTCCTATCCAATTGTCACATTTTGACACAGAAGAATGAAGTATAAATATACGTGTAGTATCGTAAAAAGATTTCGGACAATGATCCCAGTGTTCCAGAAGACCAGACCCGCATCTGCTTTAATCGTGCAACTGCTTCCATCGGTATTATGAGAATATTAATTTAAGCCCATTCTGAACAATGAGTCTGACATGTGAGTCAAAATTGTATCTCTGGGTTAATGAAGTTCAGGGCTCAGCTGCTGGATTCCCGAATTGCATGTTCTTGACGGTGGGTGTAGAGATTGTGTTTTGGCTACTGTCTGTGTGAGTAGTGACCTTAGGGTGGCTGGTAGTGTTGTTGGTGCTTCAACCTGACAAAGTTGCCATGTCAGACAGAATCTATGCTAGTTTTGTGTTATATATATGATGTGCTTCTATAGATATTGCATGATTTGTTTGATCAAAACTAAATGTTATGTTCAGGCAAGTGCAGTACAGAAAAATACACTTTACGCGTATATGTAACGTTATATCCTGAACTGAAAGCAAATATAGCAATTTTACAAAGAAATATATTACTTTATGGAGTAAACTAGTGAAGAGCTGAACTAGATATTTTCTTTAAATTTTATAGATTCTAAATCAGTCTGACTATGTCACACTCCACTTTCTGAATGATACATTATAAAGAACACTGTGAATATAAGATTTCCGAAGTTGATGAATACATTGCAGGGAATACGCACTTGCAGATATATGTAATAGCCAGCATTCTATATTAGTAACGATCCTTTTAGCTTGACCTCCACAGTGCTAATGGCAAGAAGGTCATAAATACTGCTACTTGACGTCTGAAGACTTTAACAACTACACATTTTCCAGACTTGGAAATTGCCAGACACGTAAATTTTGATAATGTTTGTTGCAAAGACAGATGTGCTGCTGGAAATATTCATGTATTTTACGTAAATACTATAATACATAAGCTGTCTTTATTTAAAAAATTAACACAAAGCAAAAGCGTGACCCAGATACATATAATTTTAGAAACTAAACCTCGTGGAATTAATGCATTGATATTTGACTAGCTACGTAGCTACGTAGTTTGTAATACACTGAATTACGATGTTATTTGCAACTGTAAGCACAATAGGCAGTTCAAAACCATACTTGAAACTAGACACACAATATCCTAACTGTATTTTGATAGTGTCGTTATCTCCACTTCAGATATAATTGTTGAAGTCTAAATGTTGTTTTCTAGAAACAGGGAAAAATATTTCCCTCGAAACGGAAGATGTGAAATAATTTTCATGACTCAGTCATCAGAGCCTCGTCTGCAAACAGAATACACTGTTTTAAGATAGGACTGACATTGAAGTATAAGAAACTGCATGAGAAGCATCTACCCATTTTCTTGCTTACCTTAATCAGCTTACTGACTACAGTTTGTGGTGACAAGCAAGGAGCAGAAAGCATCTCAGAAAGACTCCTTTACGTTGACAGGCTCATCATAACTTGGTGCAGTACAATTTTACAAAATAAGGTTCCATCGATCGACTGGGACAATATAATCATTAAATCTTGCATGGACAAAATTCCGCTACCAACTTTAGACCCGTTTGGATTCAGGTATACCTTGTATTTTTATCAGATTATTTAATGAAAACCACATATTTCTGAGTGGAAAAGTATTTCTCGTTTAATTCGGGGTATAGACAAATAATTGCCATGTGAAGGTCGCAAGAAGTGCAGTTTCGTCTTGAGAAGAATTTTGAATGGGAAGTTAACAGGGATACTTAGTAACATTAAGTGATTATCTTCTACTTATTTTGTACTGTCAAAGTTCAGGCTTCTAGAACCTTTTCCAGGTATATTTGCTGGTCTGACCACCTGCTCTATAATTTTTTCATTACGCATACCGTCTCTTTAATGTGGGTTATACATTGTAATTTGCCTGAATAAATCTAACATGATATGTCCTCAGTCACTTACTACCATATTTTTCAGATTCCACATTTCAGACCCAAACAACGGGGCAAGTTTTCACTGTTATTTTGTGGAGTCGTACTGAAAACCACTGACATATTTCTACCAGATTTTCTTCAAATGAATCCTTTTATTTTATTAAAATTAATTACTTTATTTCAAATTCTAATTTCCATAGCTGGGGACTATCTATCTCTATGGCTCTACAGCCTTTTGTTGGACCTTGGCTGCGTTTTCAGTTTCTCGATCTTTTACACAGTCGGTAGGACTCCTTGGACGGGGGATCAGCCTGTTATAAGGCCGCTACCTGCGCAGAGGACAGCACAAACAGGATAAATACACAGAGACATCCATGTCTCAAATTGGATTCAAACCCACGATCTCAGTGTCTGAGCGAGCGAAGACAGTCACTGTCATTGTGATCGTCAGTTGAGAACTATATTTTTTAAATATTCTAAAATCTTAGCCTCTTCAGACATATGATTCTTAATTACAGTTTCATCCCACATTAATTTGTTACCTTCCACTTCAGCTGATTCTATGTATACTTTTGTAATGGGTAAATCATATGTAAATATGAAACTGAAATGAAACTAGCATAGATCCTGCTCACTGAGCCTTCTGTGCATATGCACACATATGCCCACTGTAGATTAATATTGTGGGCAGAAAAGGAGTAGTGACTGGCTGTTAGAAAAGTGTTGGCATATGAAATAGTATAAATTCGAGCAAGATACATATTTTTGTTCGAAGTTTGCAGGCCCATACTCTTGTTCCCCAATAAATTTCATTAACATACAAGTAGTTATAATAGTTTTAAGATCTGAAATGTATGTATCTGAACATTGACTTCATGCAACATATATAACACACACATACTACGAATCTGAATCTCTGTTGTGTTCCTCCCCATAATTCCTGGTTTTCTGGGGATAATTACTTGCCAAAATTTTCGCTCTACAGTCCCTCTGTTGGACCTTGGCTACTTTATCAATTTATCCTATACACAGTCTGTAAGACTCCTTGGGTGGGGGAGCAGCCCATCGCAAGACCACTACCTACACACAGAAGAACACAAACACAGAATAATCGCACACAGACATCTATGCCTCCAATGGGACTCAAACCCATGATCCCAGTGTTTGGGCGAGTGAAGACAGTTCATGCCTTAGACTGCGTGACCACTGTGATCAGCAGTAGTAGATAACCACCATACCTGTAACAGTCCTCATTGCTTTATAAAGCTCATTCTTTAGTTTTTATACACATTAACTACAGGAGCCATTTTGAGAAAAATGTTCTTTTCATTTACCATTATTATCTTGGACTTAAACATACATGCTGCATAATATGTACCTGAGCACTACTAACTAGTTTAGTTGCAGCAGTTTTACTGTTAGATGTAGTACAGATAATATTTACACATGACTACAGTGCATTTCTTTAACAAACAAATTAAAGTATTGGATAAAACGTAGTGGCAGCACTGCTGTAACATGAAAGATGTGCGTCAGGTGGCACTAGCACCGTCTGTAGCTGATAGCAGAAGTTAAGTTGAAGTAGTGCAGTGAGTGCCTCTGGTTGTGTTCCATTGAGTTGCATTGTGCATCGTCTTGAAGTGCAGGAGCCCAGTTCAAGCACCCTAACATGTTTTCAAAACAAGAACAACGCTCCTGGATAAAAATTGAAGTTGCATGAGGTCGTAGTGCACAAAACTGTTATCAGGGACTGCGAGAAGCATGTGATGATGCTGCTTTGCCGTATTGCTCATTGGCACGATGGGTGAAATTGTTCCGTGAAGGGAGGGATGCCATTTAGGACAACCGTCGTTCAGGACGACCCCATGTTGACAACCACACAATGCAGCTTCTTGCATCTTCGCTGGATGTCGATCGTCAATGGGCTGCGCAAGAGTTAGCTGCTGAGGTAGATGTACGTCAAAAAACCGTGCTCCACATTATGCACGATTTTCTTGGTAACCGCAAAATTGCAGCGCTTTGGGTACCCATACAATGTCCGAGGTGCAACAATGGCAACCTTATGCAATTGCACAGGACTTGTTGGACCGGTACCAGAAGGAAGGTGTCGACTTCCTTGGAAGGATTGTCACTCTGGACGAAACTTGGGCTCTCTCATAGGAACCGCACTTGAAGCGACAGTCAAATGAATGGAAGCATCCTGGCTCTCCTCGTCCAGAGAAAGTGCGCCCTACACAGAGTAATATGAAGGCAATGGCAATTGTGGCATATGACACTGATGGAGTGATACTGCACCACACTGTACCTCAACGACAGACAGTAAATGCTGCCTATTTCTGCAATTTCCTGCGTAATCAACTTCGTCCAGCACTCAGGAGAAAGCGACGACACTTGTTGGCAACTAACCCCATCATCCTTCATGACAATGCAAGGGCTCATACTGCTGACGTTGTCAAGGATATCCTTCGCCGTTGGCGATGGAAGATACTTCAACATCCGCCATACTCACCCGATATGAGTCCGTGCGATTATAATCTCTTTGCCAAAATGAAAGAACCACTGAGAGGGACACGTTACAACACAAGAGAGGAGATTATTCGTGCTGTAGGGCAGTCACTGCTGGACATCAACAGAAGTGGACGCGCTGATGGTGTAAGGCGCCTTCCACAAATTTGGCAGGAGGTGGTACACATGGGGGGCGATTATATTGAAGGACTGTAAGTGTGTTTACCTCAGGTAATAAAGTCATTTCAGAACTCTAGAGGTGTTGCCACTACTTTTTATCCAACCCTTGTATTTAAACAGTGCTCATGCTATAAAGTTGGAAATAATAATAATAATAATAATAATAATAATAATAATAATAATAATAATAATAATAATAATAATGAGATTATGGTTTAATGAAAGACTAGTGTTAATGTAATTTACAGTATTTTATATCGCCGTTTATCATTTAATTCTTCTTTCCACTAACTCTAGGGTGCTACAAAGCTGACAAAGGATGACATCGAGAGGGTGTTCTCCCTTTATGATAGGGTAAGTTCCAATATTCTTTCACAGAGAACACAGTGAAATAAAAATATGTTAGAAGTAAGTTACAAAACCGAATTCACAAAAATATTGCTTCTGTAGTAGAGGTTGTGAGTAAATGGTTAAGTGAATATGACCTATCATTCAGACATTACTGTGAAACTCTGCTTTAACAAAGTAGGCCTGCATCAATATTGTGACGTGGACGACGCAACGCTCGTTAAACACCCCCTCCCCTTGGTGATGTAACAAGGGAAACCGCGGTTGCAATGCAGCAATAAACTCTCGGCAGCGTTGCCCAGCAACGCCTTTGTAAACACGGCGTCACGCAACAGGGCAGCCCGTGCAGCGACTGTTGCTAGGAAATCGGTAAACACGATGTCACACAACAGTGAAAGCTATCACGTAACCGTTTTCTGTGTTGTACGTGCTGAGGCTAAATAAGGAGCAGCGAACACTATTCAGTAGTGAGGTGACCCTGCGAGTCGTAGGAGGCGACGAAGAGGGAAGTCTCAAATCTGAGACAGCAAAATATTGCCTCGAGTTTCAAGGGACTCAGACCTGAGAAAGCCTACGCTGCCAAGACCTAGCAGCATGTAAAAAAAAACAGACCCGTCCTCTCGTCAGAGAGGGCGCCCCACAAAAAACAAAACTGTAAGGTTCAACGGTAATAAATATCTGGTCATAAGCCTCAGACGGGGCTCGACACCAAGACTTACTGACTGACTGACCGTCAGTCGCAATATGACTTGGACTTGGATTCCGTAGTGAGTATTGAGCCAGTTACGAGTTACGAGCAGTTGAAATGTAGCCGTCGCCGGAGACAGTTGAATGGATTCGCCGAGATGTAGTTTAACAGAAATTGAGATAGTGAATTGTATAAGATTAAGATTGTATAACTATGACTTGTATGAGCGTGGAGCGAATGTTCAATAAATTCGCTACATCAAATAGGGCGTGAAGTTACTTGTCCCGTGACATATACCCAACACGTGACAATATGTTAATATTATGTTGGGTATTGTCTCTTACATGATGCATACTTGATATACGTATTAATTCTACTCACATCTTCAGGAGGCTGGTTGCCATTATACTGGCAGATTATTTCCTTATTTATATTTTAATATTGGTGTTTCCATTTATATTAGAGAAGTTAGGAAACACAGACCTAGTGTAACAGTTCTGGTGCAGTCATATTTGCATTTATGCTATGCAGAGGACCTTGTAGTGTTGCATCATATTTGTCGTGTTTACAAATAAAAAACATTTGTTTCTGTGAGGCGATAACTCTTCCATTTTTATTTTAGAATACAACTTCTATTGCTCTGATCATTATCATATTTTTAGAGATTCAATAAATTTGTGCAAGGATCTTCAGTATAGATTTTAATTAAAACTGGTATAACGATTCTTAAGTTACGATGTGGCTTAACATAAGAATCCATTCATTTAATTAAGTCAAAAGCTGTATGACAAAATATACATAAAGCATTTATCTCTATTTTCTTGCATTGTGCTATGTAAATCATTGTAGATAATACGTGGGTTACTTCAAAAGTCATGGCAACTGATCTTTTATGGGCAAACACGTTACAGTGAAGAAAGTTCAAAATATACTTATGAAAGGGCATGATATACCCCTCCGATTGGCTTAGTAGGATCAGGTAGATGTTAAAGGGCGTAGGTATAGTAGGCAAGAAAATTTACACATTACGGAATGACTGTAACCTTACCGCCATCTTTGAGCCGATTGTCTAGATAGTGTGGGACCCTCAACGTCTCACAACCCTATGGGCCTTCACGGCCTGGTACAAGAATAGCTTTACTTTTTTTTACGAAATGACTTTTTTTTTTTTTCATTTTTCAAGAAATAAAAAATTCAATGTGCGTTAAATCTGATTTCTTACATTACGACTAGCAACCTTCAAAGTAGTCTCCAAGTTTATCAAGTACTCGCTGCAATCCATGAGGAAGACGGCGAATATCATCAGTTTCACCATCTCCAAATATTGTCATCTCACATCGAACTGCGTTGGAAATGTCCTCTTGTGTACGAAAGCGTTTCCCTCGCAATGGCTATTTCAATTTGAGTATTAAGTCATAGTCACATGGCGAAAGGTCGGGTGAACATGAAGGATGGTGTAGTACTTCCCATCCCCACTGTCGTAAACGGTTGACACTGTTCGCTGTGTGGGCGCTTGCACTGTCGTGAAGGACGATTGCATTGTTAAGCAGTTCAGGACGTTTATTCCTAATGGCACGACGTAAGTTATTCTGCAGAAAGGACTCGTAATACGCTGCATTGACAATTTGACCATGTGGAACAAAATGACACAGAATAACTCTCTGGACATCGTATATTAAAATTACCATTAACTTAACAGGGGATGGTTTCGACGAAACTTGTGCTTTCGCGGCGACTCTGGATGTCGCCACTCAGCGGACTGCCGTTTAAGCTCAGGTTTGTACACCCTAGCCCATGTTTCATCGATGGAAATTGTCCGATTCAAGAAACTGTCTTCTTCAATTTCATAACGTTCGAGGTTCACACGACTTGCTTCATAATGTGTCCACTTTTGAACCTCGTTTAATTCGTGTGGCACCCACTTCGCTGCAATCTTGTGCATGTGTAGGTCTTTTCGTAAAATTCGATGCACAGCTTCCTGGTCAGTCCCTGTATGTGTCTCTTAAACTCCTTCAGAGAAGAGCGCCTATCTTCCTCCATGCACTGGGCGATCACGGCACGAGAAACATCAGTACGAACGGACACAGGGCGTCCACTACGTTGCAAGTCGGCACTTGCTTCTCTTCCATGTTGGAATGCTTCTATCCACCTTGCAACAGTTCCGTATGGTACAGCACGATCACCCAGAGCTTCCACAAGCTCTGAGTGACATTCACTCGCATTTCTGCCGCGGAGCACTGCTATTTTCACGTAACAACGTTGTTCCAGCCAGCTAACGCTCATTCTCGACGAAGGCTATAACACACTGACTTCGCGCTGGACTCGTTTCGTTGTCCTTGGACTTCCGCATCATCTAGCGGCATAATTAGAAATCAGTCGTTGCTGTCTCTCAGTGGCAAATTTGGAAATTCCGGTCGGAGCTTTCGAATTTCGGAAAAATTATGTTGCCATGACTTTTGAAGTAACCCACGTATTTAGTATGTAGGATTTGAGGTTCTCACAGTGGTGGTTACAAAGAGTTATATCCTCTGGGATGTAACGCCATGCATTCCATTGAAAGTCAACTGGTGTTTCATAGGAATATATCGCTTCGATCTTCAGGATCAAAGAATAATCAAAGCAAGAAAGCAGCGTGAAAGCAAGTAGAAGCAGGAGTTATAACCCGCTTTCATGCTGGATTCTTGTTTGACTTACTCTTTAACCCTAAAGGTGTAGGCAAAACTTTCCTTTGAAACGTTTGTTGACTTTCAACAGACTACATAACATTATATCCCTGAAGATAGAACCCTTCAATATTGATAAAATTCCTGTCAGCACAGCACTTTACAAGTAGTTAGCGTTTGCTGTCTAGGACCTATTTCAGCTCGTGTGTGTCATCTACAGGTCCAGTTTTCAGTTACAATTATTCCACTAGGTACTTAACATAAAATTTTCCTGTAGATCAAGTGAATCCAGTGGTTATATATATATATATATATAGTGGAGCCTCGCTTAAGGAGCACCTCTCATAACGAGTAATTCGCATAACGAGCAAAACAATTTGTAAAAAAAAAAAAAAAAGACTCGCTTAACGAGTGACGAGAGGGGAAGTCCCGGATTGTGCGCTTCATACATCAGTCTGTGTTTAGCACTCGTTCCGCTAGCATCTTAGTGTCGCTTGTGATCACAGATTTTTCCAAACTTGTGTTCAGACATATTATTTGTGATTTTTTTGTGCAAAGTTTAATAACCCTTGCAAAAATATCCCCGAAGAAAAAGCCGCAAAAAGACAGCCATAAGAGAATAAAAATAACCGTAGAAATGAAAAGTAAAATCACTGAAAAGCGAGAACGAGGTGTGAACGTGGCTGATCTAGCGCGCACATACAGTCGGTCTACATCAACGATTTGCACTATCCTCAAGAACAAGGACAAGATTAAGGAGACAGATGCTTCAAAGGGAGTGACAAGAATATGTACGCAACGGTTACATATTCCCTACGCTGTTTAAATGTTGCTTCTCATATGGATAAACGAAAAGCAATTGCAAGGCGACACTATTAACGAGAACATCATTTGTGAGAAGGCGAAAGTGATTTCCGCCGACCTCGTTAAGAAGACGCCAAGATCATCAACGGCCGAAGAAGCATTTAAGGGAAGCCGTGGGTGGTTCGAGAAGTTTAAGAGAAGAACCGGCATCCACAGCGTTGTAAGGCACGGTGAAGCAGCAAGCTCCAACAGAAAGGCAGCAGAGAACTTCATCGGCGACTTCAAGAAGCTCGTAGATTCTGAGGGTTACCTGCCGAAACAGGGGTTTAATTGTGACGAGACGGGTCTCTTCTGGAAAAAGGTGCCGAAGCGAACCTATATAACAGCAGAGGATAATGCATTGCCCGGCCATAAGCCAATGAAAGACCGTCTCACGCTGCTATTTTGTGCCAATGGAAGCGGCGATTTGAAAATTAAACCACTGCTTGTTTACCATTCAGAAACTCCACGAGCCTTCAAGAAGTGTAAAGTCCAGAAGAGCAGACTAAATGTGATATGGAGGTCCAACAACAAGGCTTGGGTGACACGTGACCTTTTTACTGATTGGCTCAATGAAGTGTTTGGTCCTTCTGTGGAAAAATATTTGCTTGAAATGAATCTGCCAATCCATGTCTTGCTTGTTATGGACAACACTCCTGCCCATCCTCCAGACCTACAAGATAACCTCCTTGAAGAATTTAAATTCATCAAGATCCAGTTTCTGCCTCCCAACACCACTCCGTTACTCCAGCCTATGGACCAGCAGGTTATTTCTAACTTTAAGAAGCTGTACACTAAAGCACTCTTCGAGCGTTGTTTTGAGGTGACTGAAGGGACCAATCTCACTCTCAGAGAGTTTTGGAAATATCATTTCCACATCGTTGCCTGCCTCAAGATGATTGAAAAGGCAGGGGAAGGGGTTATCTAGAGAACCCTCACTTCTGCTTGGAAGAAGCTTTGGCCGGAGAGCGTTGTCGAATGTGACTTTGAGGGGTTTGAGATAGTACCTGTGGAGCCTGTAGTCAACGAGATTGTGTCTTTGGCCAAGATCATGGGGTTGGAGATGGATAACAATGATATCGATGAGCTTGTGGAAGAGCACAGCCAAGAGCTGACCACCGAAGAACTTATAGAGTTGCATTGGGTTTCACAGCAAGAAGTTGTGGAGGAGAGTTTGTCAGAGGAGGAGGAGGAGGTAACAGCAAAGCAACAATCTTCTGGCGCAATAAGAGAAATGCTGAAAGCATGGGAAACTGTTGCATCGTACATTGAGAAACATCACCCTCATAAGGCAGTGGCTATGCGTGCTACAAATTTATTTAATGATAATGCTGTGTCGCATTTTCACCAAATTTTGAAGCGTCGGCAAAAACAAATGTCTCTAGACAGCTTTCTAGTAAAAAAGAATTAGATATGTATCATAAATAATAAACTAATTATTTCGATTTTTTTTTTTTTTTTGTTTTCTGCAAATCGAATTCGCATTCCAGGTTGGTTCATTCCGCATAGAAGAAAAGATGAAGATGATTCACGCTCCTTAACAATGTATATATAATTTTCCTTGAATAAACGTTATACATAAATTTTTTTGAGTATTTTTTCGGCATGGAACACATTATCGTATTTTACATTAATTTATATGGGAAAAATTGTTTCGCTTAATGAGTGTTTCGTATTACTAGTAAGATTCTGGAACGAATTATGCTCATTAAGCGAGGTTCCAATGTGTCTTGTATAATACACCAAGAGATCCATCATAGGTGTTTCCTCAATAACCACTCCTGAATTTGACAGATATCAGTGATTTATCTCAGCTGTAATTGAGTGCATTATACCACATACAATTTATAACAAAATGTAAAATGAAGCTGTAAAAGAAGAAAATCAAATATGAAATCTGCATCAGCCTCCACTAATGAGTTATGCTCTCTCTATCTATTCATGATACTAAAATACACATTAAAGACAAAGTAAGTGATGTTAGAAATTACCATTTGATATGCTGGCCAAAATTCTGTACATCTAAAATTTTACTGTTTGGAATTACCACCATTCTTCAGGCCTTGAAGACTGTCATGCATGGTCAAAAATTCATGGGTAATGAAGCCGTAGCTGAAGAGAATGCAGTAGCATCCTGAAGCAGAGTAGAATACATGAGTTTGCTCCTCAATGGCATAAATCCATCAGGAGAAAACATTATTATGTTGAAAATTATGAGCATCATATGTATATTTATATACATTTTTTGAGGCTATGGATTGTCCCACATTTTTTCAGCTAAAATGAACTGAAAAAATGGAAAATTTCTCCATTCATATTTGCTAATAATTGTGTAGTTGTGTTTCTGAAGTCTTCTTCATTGAACTTAAATGAAAATAATCCATGTTAAATAATCAGTATTTGTCTAAACACATCTTCAAGAACAATATACCTTTAATTTCTTGAAGTGTGACAAGAGTTAATGTCATCACTTATTAACAACTATTTTCTTCCATTTGCTACACAGAGCAACTGGTGCCTGTATATGGTGAATCACTTAGAAATATTGAATATTCTGTAATACAGTGAAGTGTAACCTGATGCAGGATCAAACATTTTTAATATTATCACAAAATGCTAGCTGCATAAACTTCTGTTGCCACTATTACAGGACAACAATGGCACAATAGAAAATGAGGAACTCCGAGGATTCTTGAAGGACTTGCTGGAACTGGTTAAGAAGGTAGGCACTCAGTTTTATAGGGGCTCTATAAAAGTAAATAGCAAATGAAAATGTAATTTTTTACTTAAATACATTATTGTTTTACATTATGTAGCTGAAGAAACCCATGAGATACTCACTAAATTCTATTCAGTGACATTCTGAATGCATGTTGAAGGTTTTGCTATTATTGTGGATGTAACTCCTTCATTTTCAGATATTCATGATTAATGATTACCGTGGTTTTCTGAATGAGTGAACTGGTGTCACATGTGGGAGGTACACATTTTGATCCTTGGAAGCAGGATATCTGTTGCAGGCATTTACGGATTTCCTCAGTCATTCCAGACAAATGAAAGATTAAAATAGGTCATGATAACGTCTCTTCGCGTTTCGCCAAGTTCATTGGTCCTGCACTATGCATGTAACATCAAAATAAGTGAATAACTAATCAGCCACACATATATCTTGCACAGTAAACGTTCAAAACACTGAGGGACCATATTGTGCCCCAGATGCCTAACTGTAGGCTACATTGGAACAAACATGCTTTTCTAATGAAGCAGAACACTTTGTAATCCAAGTGGTCATGCAATAGAATTATGCTGAGCACATAATGACACCATCAGACAGTGCTGCCAGTTAATGGCACTTAAAAATTAGCCACCAAATTTTTGTTATATTATTTCATCATTGCATACAACCATGCAGTCACACTTATTCTGTGTTTCTGCAAGTTGTTATTTATGTGTCACGTGAAATCAATTGAAAACGTATGCTGAATATTTAGTAAGCATTTTCTGCAAGGTTTTTTACAAGATGTGTTCCATTTCTTTTAAGAGGAGGAAATGTGATGATAATTTCATGGACTACATGTGATCCAAATGTGGTGATTTGGGGGCCCTGCCATTAATCACGTGAACACACCATATAATTCCTCTTCAGAAGCTAATAGACATGCAGTTAGTCAAAAAAAAATCTCCACCTTCTATGGAACCCAGAATTTCATTACCATATCCATATGAACTTGCCATTAGTCCTTATCCTCAGCAAGTCCAAGTTCTTATGTAACATTTTGTAACATGCTAGTTTCTTATGATATGGAGTAGTTAACTTTCCATCCGGACACAAGCTAGAGGGCCACTCCTTGTCAGTTGCTCACTACCGTTGTTAAATATATTTGCAGCCACCCTCCACAACTTTAAGTAGTCTCTTCCATCTACAACTTAAGGAGCTAATATTCAATGATAATAGAAAGTTTTAAATTCTAATGAAGAAATTCTCACTAAAATCAATTTAACATGACAGGATTATGATGCTCAGGATCTCCAGGATTTTGAGGAAACAATCTTACGTGGTGTGGACTACAACCAGGATGGGAAGATCAACAGGAAAGAGCTGACAATGATACTTCTGGCACTAGCTAAGCACAACCAAGAAGAGGATACAAGCGCATAGAGGCATCTCCTACAGTAACCACTGATTCCCAACAGCAGTATCCCAAATCATTATTGTTTTATACATATACATGTGGTGGACTTGCATTAATGGCGGTCATTTTGCTTCCAGGAACCTGATCAACTATAACAAATAAATCAATTTTCTGTTAAAACCCTATGTTTTATACTTAACTGGATTACTTTTGATGTAATGGTCAGTGTGGATAGTTCATGAGAGTTCTAGCTTGGAAAGGAAAAGAAAAATTACTTATGTCATTTCGTTGTATGTAACCAAAATAATGATGAAAATTACCTTTGTGACTGCAGAAGCAAAGACTTCACTCCTTAAAACTCAACATATCATTGCTACTGTTTTCTTGATTTTCAAAGGGAGAGAAAATTTCAGTTCATTTATTACACAGTATTCTACTTCCTATAAGTTTTCATACTGAAAGGGAAAGCTCATCATTGCAATAAATAAATAAATAAATAAATAAAAAACACCAGGTAGGGTTAATACACTATAAATAAAGGCCCACAACAACAAATAATTCTGGTTGACCTCATACTGCTATATACATCTTCATGGCAAATTTATTTTCTGTTGCTTCATAATATTAGGATTCAAAAGGCAATATCACCATTGGCATGTGGCTGAATGTAAGTCATATAGAAAGAAACTATTTCATGAATTTAATTGTATTTGCATAAAGTGATTAACAGTATGTGTGTTCCAAGTCACTCTACTGAATTATGTTTGTTGTATCAAGTTTAGTATAATACACCCCTCATTCTCAAATGTTAGGTTTAACATGTGAGTCAAAGAGACATATCTCTCAGTGATCAAATGTTTTATGTAATGTTTGAAGTTACAAACTATAAGAAAGACAAATATTTGGACAAAGAAATTATTTCTTCTAACATCAACTGAGGACAAATTAGGTCATAAGTAGCTAATATTATAAATTGTTTGAACATAAGATTATTGTGGTTCTTGGGTTCTTTTACAAGTATCAGCTGCTCAGGTTACATATTGTTGAATTAAAAGAAATAAACAGTTTTTAAGGCAGTACTTCTTAACCAGTGGGGGGGGGGGCATTCCGCTGATGGCCCTGGACATTGGCTGGGTGGGGTATGAGGTCTCAAAAATTACAAGTTCTGTTAATGATTAATATGATATTTAAATTTGCATAATTGTAAGAATATGCTTCTCGACAAAAGAGAGGCTTTTCTTACTATGATTGGACTGCCCCCCCTCCCCAGCATGATCAGTATGATGCAGCATATAATAGGTTAAAAATTACTCATGTAAGATAACTTAAAAAGACTGAAGAAGAATGCAGCTGTGGTATGTTGAAGATACTAAGGTAGAATTAATCTAGAAAGGCTTAATAAAAGTACTAGGAAACCTAAGAATAGTTGGTATTCTTGCTGAGATTCGACCCAGATATCTCCTGAGCACAGGTTAGGCCATTGCATTGATCTTCTCTGTACGGTGATGAGCGTAATTTTCATTGCATTATTGCATAGTGCATTGAGACGTTAAGTGTGACACTTTTGTCAATTCAATTTTTACACAAATAAGAGTGAAATAAGTACATCTTAATGAATGTCTCGATTATGTAAATTAGTTTGAGGCAGTTTCCTCCAAACTTCTGGGAACCATTTATGAAACTACGTGATGTTATAATCCCGAAGTGCATAATCTAAGACTCTGCTGCCTTGAAATTCATAAACCTGAACCAGGAGAGAGAGAATATTAAATGCTATCAAATCCTGCAGGAAAAGAGAATGACAGCCTGTGAGTGGGAAAGGAAGAATTATTAGGGTCAAAATTAATTCACAGAAACACATTATCAAAATTTTGTGAATGTTATGAGCCTGTAAATTAAATACTCTGATAGAGGTGGAGTAGATCATTATCCTTCAGGATGATGTTGATAAACTGGGAATTAGAATGGTTGCTGTAACAAAGAGACTTGGAACACAACTTAAAATTTTCTAATACTTCCACTCTCCCAGTTGCTGTCCAATATGAAACAAAAATATATCAGATATTACTGTAGATTATATTTTAATCTTGACATAATCAACTTAGTAGTACAAGAAATATGATTAATTTTAATAATGAATTTCTAATTGAACACTTTTATAAGTTTATGAACATGCTGATTCTTAATATGAAGGGCATACTTACTATTATTTGTATGTTTAGTTCTTAGGCCTATATGTACACATGTTGAGCAGTGAAGGAATGACTTCCACAGGCTTCTACCAGGCAGCTCTATCTCACCACTGAAATGAGTTTCTTGCAGAATAACCACAGTGTCCTGCTACTTCTGTCTTTTTCTTCTACAATATGAATAACAAATGGCAAAAGAGTGCTTTAATATAGTCCATCACTTCCACCCTCATTCTTTCAAATTCATTCCTCTTCATCATCCAGCCATTTCTCATTGTATGCTGTTTAAAATATGCAGGTGACAGATTTATTGAAAAAACAATACAAATATAATATATAATGCTGCAGTGAAATTTCAGAATAAGGGATTTCAACAGAACACACAATTACTGGAGAGAAATTATAAGTTTAACTCTGTTGAATATATTGACATGATAACTCTCATCTGTATTACTGTAATTGGCAACTGTTGGATGGTAAAAATTTACATTCTACGTAGTTACATGACGGTGTTATATCTGCAAAATAACTAACAATTATTATTAGAAATCCACATTCTGATTTGTTTCCTACCTGTCCTTCTATTTTCTCAAAGAAATATCCAAGATAATTGTTCTAAAGTCTTTTGTTTTCATGTTTTCTCTCAGAAATCTTGCTTCTGATTGTTTCAGTCTATCCTATGTTTATTCTCCATTGAATATTAAGGGTATGCATCCTGTCATGTGTCATATATATGATATATAATGTATATAATGGAGGCAGTCTACACAACAACATACCTGAAAAACCAAATAGACACTATTGTATCAACACTTGCTTTATTTTGTTGTTGACGCTACATGTTTTGGCCCTTATATAGGACCATCATCAGGCATACAATGATACTAGCCCTAGTTCTTGAATTGCATCTAATTTCAATATCGATCCATATTGCTTTCTTGTGAGTTATAAATACATAAATTGAATTTTCTTTTGAAACTTAAATACTTAGGCAGTTAAATTTAGAATTAAAAATTAAAATTAAAATTGTACAGAAATGAGATATTTTGTAATAAATCTCTTTGATACTTTGTGACTGCTACGTGTTGGTGTGCTATTCCTGGGGTAGAAGCAATTATATTGTGGGGTGCTTGTGTATTGGGATTTTCTCTCATAAGTTAGGTCATGTGGTTTTGACTTCACTATTGTTTTGTGGAGCCTACGCTCATTATGCAGTGCATCACCCCACAGGTTGTTTACTTGGAGTGATGTACACCAAGTTTTTATAATGTTATGTGTACAGGCCATATACTTTATAAATCAGCACTCTAGTACAGGAGTTGACAACATCTTGGCATTGACAGCCCGCAGTTAGAGTGTGGGTTGCCTGCATATCAGGATCAAGACCGAACCACTGCAACAGTGGCAACATCATCACAAAGAGTGGCCTATACACATAACATCATAAAAACCTGGTATACATCACTCAAAGTAAACAACCTGTGGGATGATACACAGAAAAATGAAAGTAGGCTCCATAAGATGACAGCTAGGTCAAACCACAGAACCTAACTTGTGAAAGAAGATCTGGATACACAGGCGCCCCACAATGTAATTGCTTCTGCCACTGGAAAAGCATATCAGCACGTAGTGGTCACAAAGTTTTGAAGAGATTTATTACAAAATATCTCATTTTTGTACAATTTTAATTTTAATTTTTAATTCTACATTTTACTGCCTAAGTATTTAGGTTTTAACTGAAAATTCCAAGTATGCATTTAAAACTCACAAGAATGGAATATGGATCCATACTGAAATTAGATGCAATTCAAGAAAGAGGACTAATATCATTGTATGTCTGATAATGATCCAATACAAGGGCCGAAACATGTAGCATCAACAGCAAACTAAAACAAATGTTGATACAATAGTGTCTTTTTTGTTTTTTGAGAATATTATTGTGTAGACTGACCCCATTATACACATTATATATTCTATATTCCACCTTGAAACCTATGGTGTTTTTATCGGTATTTATTCATGCCTAAAATAACAAAATAAATCGTTCCAGTTATCAATAACTATATTATTTAAATACCAGAGTAATTCATATAGAAAAGTTAGTTTGTAGAATGGAGATCTGCAATACATTGAAGCACTTTGCAGTATGTTTTAATATTATGAGGTTTGAGCTTTTCACAGTGGTGAATATTAAGATTATGGTTTCCTGGAGTATAGCACTGTATAGTTTGGCAGTGTTTTGGAGGCAAAGGGTTCTCTAACTTTGGTATCTATGTACCAAAGCTACATGATATCAAATTCCAAAAGACTGGAACATAATGTTCAATATTCATTATACCCTGACACATTCACCAAGTTCATGTTCCTTTGCAAGGTCTCACTGCAATAAATGAATCATTGACATAATGAACAAGTTTTAAAACATCATCCTTAGTGATTACATTTTGGCATCAACAACCCTTCTTAATATTTAACTGTACTCAGTGATCCTGAATGAAACGTTGCAAAGATTATGACTAAATAATATCAGTTAAAGGACATTGTGGACATTCTGAACTTTGGTCTAATCATTTTGATTAGATTCCTTTCATACCGATTGCTAAAATTATACTAGCTCTACTCCAAAGCAATTATCTTCCATACTTACCATATCTTACAACTATACATAACTAGATTTAAAAATCAGATTAAGGAGATTACTATAATATAACTTTAACAATTAAGTTGTTTTAACTTACAAATAAAGAAATATGATCTAAATTAAAGTGAATGCATATAAACATTTTAATCTAAAATTTTCTTGAGAATTAGTATGGACTAGTGATTCCACAATTAGAAGTGCTTAGCAAGGTAGTTTATAAGTGAATTAACTTAGTGAAAAAATTAATTAAAATTATTGTTAAACTCACTTTGTAATACTGCACATAATTTAAGAAACAGTAAGCACAAATAGCCTTAATTTTCATAATACTACTACGCATTCCATTACGTCTAAAGAACTTTAATTTAATTTCATTTACTTCCATCCCTTCTTCCCCTTCATGGCATTATTCAGGTTTTGATGACAGTTGTTGACATTTTTGAGTAATGGTTTACAATGTTTTGTCGTTAACTAGTCTGATGAAATTTTAGAGATCTGCCATGCCTCCATTTTCAAGGTGAAGTCACAAGCCTCACAAGTTGGTACTTTGCTTTGACCATTTCCTCTATCTAAAGAAAATTGTAATATTATTCATATTTATGGTTATATTAATGAGTTCTGCTACAACTGTGTATAAATTTTATTCTTCTAACCAACATTTCTCATTGTTTACTGTTAAAATGTTCATTATTTAAAAATGTGTTGTTTAGATGTGATGTGATGTGAAATACGTATTCTGATGGCCATTATCATTCAATGAAAATAATTAATATAGATGTTGCTTTTGATAATTATACAAAGATGTATTCTTATCAAGTGAAGGAATAATCTTGTATGACTGGTGCTGTATTTAAGAAATGACAGAAAACAAATGTTGTAGTAATAATGTAATATGTAATATTAAAATACAAGTATAAGTATGCTATACATACTACTGTACTTATGATCTACAGTAAAGAAATTATTTGCCTACAAATAAACTGCAAGTATTTTTTGCATAGGAAATCAGTTTCAAAGTAAATTTGTGGCCATTGTACGTGGCATAAGAGTATTTTGAATCTTAACCACAGTGAAGAGAAGAATATCTGTAAGTCATAAAACAGATAAACATTTGTCTATAAACATGCTTCATTTCTTATCAAAGAAGATTTTATGCTTAACTAGCTAGATATTTCCATCATTCTTACTGGACAATTTTTATTTATACAGATTATATTTGCTTTATATAAATTTTTACTTTTGTCATAAAAAAATCTGATTTTGGCTTATGAACTATTCAGTGCTTATGATGGTAGTAAGCTATGTATCTGTTCAGCAGACACTCCATTAACAACTTCAAATACCGCAAAGAGAGTCTGAAATTACTTTTACTTTCTTTTACCATGATGTAAAGTTTGTACAAGTATTACATGTTGTATGTTATATTTCTCAAGCTAATACAGTTGGGAAAATATCATTAAATCAGTCAAGTATCAGTCACTGTAGCTAATGTAAGTAATTATTGTATGGTGACACACTAGCAAAATGGAATCTTATAAAAAGTAAAGTTAAAAGTAAAGCTAACCCTGTTACAGGCCGTGAAGGCCCATAGGGTTGTGAGACGTTGAGGGTCCCACATTAACAATATTATAATAATTAGTTGATACACTTTTTGTTATATTTGTATATAAATATTCTCCAAAAAAATATAATTTCTTTAGCAGTGAATTATAAACAGTAAAAGGGCTGTAATGGTCACTATGGCCTGAAGGAAGTGCCATTAGCAATATTGCAAATGTTAAGTAACAGCCATTACAACTGAATTGCCTGGTGTATGTTTTTAGCCACTTCTGATTGGTGAACCCTTGTAACTATTAAACAACAGATCCTTTGTTAGTACACAGTATGCTAGTCGCTACAGTTATTTTATAAGAGACCTACATAAATCAAGAAAACATAATATATTTGCAAATGCAGATGGCTCAGTAATATAAACCTGTGTTCAAGAACACTTATGAATAACTTAGAATCTTTTTGGCATAAGACAAGTGTGTATTTTATTATCCCAGACAGATATAATGAATTTCCCAGAGAGTTAAGTTCAGTATCCAAGTCATTTAAATATGGACGGTGAACCCCTGAACTTCCATCTCCCCTTGTAGAATTCCCAATTTTTAGTATACGCAAACTTAATACATCACATGAAGCATCAATTTTCTTCTGCTTAAAATTGTATAACTGTTGCATAATAACCAATGCAGCAACTAGGTATTTATTATAAAATAAAAGTGAGATTTCCTTCACTCAAAATACTTGCACTGACTTGAATTGAATGAAAATACTCTAAAGGAACACTATCAATATAATTGAAAGAAGTCATGAAGTAATGATACAGTCTTTGCCATGGATGGACCAGCCTACTGATACAAATGTACATATTATTGCAGCTAATTTGTTATGTATAATATCTAAGCCTGTGTTGTACGTGTGAATGTGTGTGCATGTATGTGTGGGTGCAAGAGTTTGTGTGCCATTGTGCACATTCAACTTACCTACTCTGGCATTAAGGAGGAAAGCTGTGGCAATGTAAATGGAAATGTGGCAGATGTTCCTGAAAACTATATAAAAATACCCTGCATGGCTCAATACAGATTATGTTGTCAATCCATTACCATACAGCATCCTGCCAAACACATGTTAACTACGTTTTCACATGATTCATACACCAAGAATGCATTTTAAAATGTATGAAAACTCAAGAATGAGAATCTGTGAAAGGAATGTTTGGGCATATTTGGATACACATCGAGAATGTTTTTGCAGGTTTTGTGTCTGCATCCATGGCTTGTTGATAAGATTATAATAGATATTTATGTTATGATATATATTTACATGTTTATCATTATATGAAAGAAGTTGTTGATATTGCATCTATCAGTGGTTTGTCGTAAATAATGTCATCAGTTAACTGTTAAATGTTGATGAAAATTTTAATCCATTGCAATAAAATGGAAAAAATTTAAAACTGTTGAAAGTATGTTACATCTCACCTTACTCATCTGATATATTGTTACATCAAATGTTCTCTTATTACTTTGAACAGCAGAGCTCATACACAAACAATCCTTGAATTGAATTGAATTTATTTACATTCTATAAATCCTAAGTAGGTTAGTACCTT